CTCAATTCGCTCTGCATTTTCGCTTGAAGCATCGATTCTAGGCAAGGACATGGTAGACACTTATGTTCGCTTTTGGTCATATTCGCGACCAATACCATCTAAATCAGTCATCAGCGGGGCGACGTCGCACGCGACGCCCACTACCGCGGCGAATTACGATTCTCTTGCCACGCAGCCTTGTTCTACTGTTTGGTTTTTGCGGTGGACGAACGTGAGGCAGTGACAGACGTTTCGAACAGGCCAACGACGGGCATCACGCCACATCCCTCCGGAACAGGAAAAAAATATTGTTCTCACTACCTTTAGGAATTCCGAATACGCACATGTCTTTCCTGGATGACTGAAAACTTACAATGGATTCGTATTTAGTACAGTCGTCTCCATCAAAGTCCGAACAGTACATCGGCCGATGACCGAACGTCAGTATCCACGGCACATTGGCTCTGTTATTGTTTGCTCTCTTCAAATAAAACATTAGTTATAAAAAAGAAACGATCATATCAGATATCTCATTGATAGATACAATGTGAACAGTAATAGCTTCTTTGTACATTTGCTCGGTTCTAGACCAGTTAATCCAGCTTCACATATGACATAACTTTCTTGTTTGCAGATGTTTTTGCGTGTCTTTCATTGTAATCAGATGGATTTTGCTTGAAAGCAAATTTTTCATTCATTTCCGTGAAGCCTGACCCATGCCATGTGTGCGGGTGAATGGGTCCGCAAATGCAATGACGTGCCGCCTTCTGCGTTCCGAAGTGCATGGGAACAGGCTGGAGGGTAATGATATACGGGTGCCCTGTCCAGTTTCCCTACGCCATCCGCGCTGCCGCCAGGCGCTCGCCTAATTATAGCCAAACGCCCTACTTGTCTGTGTCCTCGCACTTCTGACTACCTCTAACTGCGTGTTCGCTGCGGGATTATGGTGTCGAGGAAGTGCTCTTCTCTGAGATACATAGCGCGCAAGGGCCGAGTGGTGGCACGGCACCCGAAACTCATTACCTTTGACCCCGTAAACTTTTGCGCGAAGAGAGCCGCACGCTATTGTAGCTGTGGACCCCTTAACAAAGTCCGTTCATGGGGTGAATGCACAGTTTGTCTTCGGTTCCATCCTTTAGCTGCTCAGTAGAAGCACACTAGCATCCGTATTGGGTAAAATCAGCAACTGGAGTTCAAAGCGATTTTATTCGGCTGACTCTCGGCCAGTCGCCTTCATCAGTGGTCAGGGTGACTCCATCCTTATAAATTAATGAGGATAGAGTTGCACTTTTCTTTAACTTTCCAGGCTCTGACAAAGGCGTGTGGCATTTTTTTCAAACATTTTTTCCAACTTTTTTCAGTGGTTTCAAAATCGCACAAAACAGGACATCACACGATGCCCAGGATTATGAACAGTCGAACATGGAGAACTGAGTTCATCCAACAGTAGTAAGAAAAAAGTGCTGCTGAAAAGAGAAAAGGAGTGCTTGACAGAAGCTATTGCTGTTTTTTAGAATACGATGAAGGATTTCATATATACCATCTCTCTTGGAATTATAAGAACACAAGTTGTCAAAACGACTTACCGTAAGGTCATCAATTAACCAGTTCCACTGATTGAGAATTTGACTCCACCCGTAGTTAGTGTAAAAATAGAATTCCGTGGAGAAAATGATGAAATGTGCTCTTCCCAAGTCAAAGCTAAATCAAAACAGAAATTATGGTGCGTAACACAAAAGATATAATTTTTTATTCCAAAGTCTCTGGAACAGGGCCATGGATCACGCAAAACGGTGTCACGGGTCCGCATTTCCAGGCCGGCTTTCTTCTCTCATACTCACGTCCCTGCCGCTCAGACTCTCGCCACTCTTGCAACCGCGCACCTTCCTTCCTCAAATAAGAGACTGCATGTATACATTGCTGTAATGCTTAGCACGCTAGTTCCTTAAGCGTGAGGTCCAGGTTCGAATCCTCACCAGGACCAATTGTATGCCCCTGAGTCATTGTCAGAATCATTGTGATAACTTCCGCATAGGCAATAATCATAATAAAACAAGGCATAGATGTGAGCCGTCAAGAGGACACAAGTACAGCAAACATCACCTATCGGGGAATTTTGCAAAGATTCCTCGAAAAATTGAGGGGGATGCGGTGTGGGGAAGGCATGGGGAGGAATGGAGGTTAGCAGCAGCCAGAAGAACGAATTTCCTGTTTCAAAGTTACGCACAGAGACTACCATAGTTTCGAATTTTCAGTAAAAAGAGGAGGAGCGAACCTGTAGAACAAGTTGTGCTCCGATCTGGGCATTGTAAAACGACTAACGTAGTGGGAAAAATTATACGCTGCCTTAAAAATAATAATAAGTATTCGCAGAGAATTGCGCTGAAAGAACTGAACTACCTCATGATTGCCAACTGCTACCATATAGGGTACGTAGGCTGCAATAGGCTCGATTTGTCGTAGGAATTCATCTCCAACATTACCGTCATCAGTATCAAGATTGTAGGCGAAATCACCTTGAGTAAAAACCATCAATGGCTGAATGTTAAGAAAATGTTTTCTGAGACCCTAAATTTACTTGATGCTTGTATGTTATGACCTTTTTAATGACATACCAACGTGCAGAACCATGTCGATATCGCCGTCTTGGGCCATTCGTTGAAGTTTCCCTAGGGATCGCCCATTCTGATTGCCCAAGTCTCCGAATACGGCGATTTCATAACCGCCATCATCACGCGGGGTCAAAGCAGTGAACTTGTAGATAGCGCTCCATCCATGGTCACTACCAACGCGATATTCTGCAGCAGGTGATAAAAAAATTCTCCAGGAATAACTAGAAAAAAAGGAACAATGCATGGCAAAAAAAACTTCGCCTTTGTTATTAGAAGGCAAACTTCAGCTTGCAACTCACGATATGTTTTCCCAGGCGTCAGACCAGAAATAGTGGCTCCTGTGAATGTATCGCTTCATCTTCGATTTCGGCGTGTCAATGAATTCACTGCAGAGGCCTTCTGAGACCTGAAAGTGCTTTTCGATTGTCTTTTTCATTTTGCTATCTAGATCTGAAGAAGGTAAACGATTTCTGTACCAACTCTGCCAGCAGCTTTTGCTTTATGGTGGGGGTTACCTAGGCTTTCCCGCGGGAAGATGCTCGCTGCAGGTACTATTTGAGAATAGTGCTCTCTCACATATCGCTTATTCCTGACAGCACAGGTGATCTCCCATCAAATGGGGCTACCTGGAACGGCGGTCGATTCCTCCCCGCCTACAGCTGATTGACTTTGTCACTTGAAATTTCTTTCTGTTCAATTATGTGGGTTGACCTCGCAGGCAGGGCACGCCATCGTTGTGATAATCACAGCGGGGAGGGGTCGTATTTGACCGCGAGGGAGGGAGGGGGGGTCGTATTTGGTCTGAGAAAATTTTTTGATAGTTGATTTCTCTTGTTTCATGGACGCTATAAGGGGGGGGTTGTATTTGGTTGTTGTTGGGAGAGGGACTGCCAAAGATGTATACAACTACTATTTCCGATAGTTGAAAATGATAGATAAATCTAGATAACCTCCCCTACCCCCTCCCCCGCTCGACAGCAAAATTCTGGGGACAAACCAGATCTTTTTTGGAAAATTTCAGAAAAGCTCGTGGGAGAGTAGGAAAAATCTGAGAATTTTCCTGTTTCACATTGGGTATATCCCCCCTCCCCGCTCGACGGAAAATTCTTGGCTGAAAAACTGGAAATTTTTCGGGAAAAGTGGTAGGAAGTTGGGAAAATCTAGGAAAGTGGTAGGTAGCATGGGGAGGGGGGTCGTATTTTTCAGGAAATGATCACAACGCGATGGCTTGCCCTGCTTGCAGGAGGCATTGACGGAAGACTTACTCCTGCTTGTGAAGGAACGCCTGAGGCGTACTTCGTATGAAAGCGTCTATGTACCTGTTACCCTGGACAGAGTTAAATTTGATTTTGTGTGCCATTAGCTGAAACAGTTTTTTTCTGCCACCCCCTCCCTCCCCTTGTGGAATTGCTTCGAAGATGATCAATCTGAAACTGCCTTCGTTGTGAAGACTATGTTTTCCTTTTACGAGCCTTATTAATAGACAAGCTCACTGAGAACATTGCATGGGTTCACTTCCTCGTTGACATAGTTTCTTACCTTTTCTAATTTCTTATCAGTGATAAGTCCATAGTTCACCAATGATTTCTCCGTATCATCGAATGTCAGCCAGGTGACAACCACTTCTGTTGGTGAAGCTAAAGTACACCTATTAGTGTAGTTTGACTTCAAAACGGCGGTTTTCTTGTTCCAAAAAAGGTTGGAAGTGTCTCACCTCCCAGAGAGAGGTGAATTTGTTCCGGTTGTCCGTAATCCGGTCCATAATTTGGATCTGACGTTTTCCATTTAGGAACGCGATCTCGTGGAAGGTACTGTCGTGCTGTTACCACCAAAAAGATGGTGAGAAGCCAGGGTAACATTACCTTAAAACCGCTTAGGCATGTTGATCTTTTCCATGTGCATTACCCTCCATTACAAACATACGAGATCTTCACACCAGTGAACGCACAGAACTTCAAAATAGCGGAGGCAAAATAGCGGAGGGGAAACAGTAATAGAAGAATAAGAATAAGAATAATTGAATTTGTGGTCATGCTCTGCGGTGCAGTTTACATTTATCCTTCTTAGTATTTGACGCAGGCTAGGCTAAACACACGGGCAAGATGGTACCTGTCTACCGTGCTTTTCTCATTGGCATACCCGTGAAAAATGGTCTAAGCGCACAGGGCTCGGACGAAAACTTCACAAAAAGCTGGCGCGAATTCATAGATAGAGCTATAAAATTGGAAGGAACATAGAGCAGGGATCTATGAGAACGGTGTGAACAGACCCTGTTTCTCTCAAAGATCTATTAGGTTGTCCGGAAAGTTCTCAGCGTTTTGTCTTACTATTTTACGGCGTCCTTCTGATGGATGTAGCGTTTTCAGATATGAAACAGCAGTATGTGTTTGCAGGCCGATCCTCCTTCCGGGTGTGAAGTGGGTCCCGGTGCTTCGCCGGTCGAATGGTCGAAAAAAATTGTTTTGAGAATTACCGCACTTTGCCGTTTCACTGCTAGTATATACCCCCCCACCCGCTGCTCCCCCCCCCCTTTCTGGAGAAGTTTTTCGGATGCTTTTAGGGTTTTTTATCCCCGGCACCGTTCACTACGGGCACGCCCTGCCATCGTGGGTGTGCTTCATTCATTCCGTCCGCCAACTGTTTGCCTATCGTTTCCCACAATTTCCGCTCTCCGGGATCTTCTGGAACCGAATTACGAATTTTTGAAAGTTCTGTAGCGAGCACCGCCCACCTATGAGCACGCCTTGCCCATCACGGGTGTGACTCCTTCATTTCATTTCGCGCATGGACTGTTATCTTACCCACAATTTCCGCTCTCCGGGATCTTCTAGAACCGAACTACGAATTTTTGAAAGTTCTGTAGCGAGCACCGCCCACCTATAGCACGCCCCGTCCATCACGGTTGTGACTCCCTCATTTCATCCGCCAACTGACTGCTTATCCTTACCCACAATTTCCGCTCTCCGGGATCTTCTAGAACCGGACTACGATTTTTTGAAATATGTAGCTCACAACTGTGCG